ACCAAAGTTGCAAAATGTTTTTGATGTATGTCGCTAAATACCGGGCACTAGTTCCTATAGCTAATACAGGTAATTAAATAAACCGGGGCCAACTTCTTTAAAATTAACTAACAAAATACAGCTAAAATGTTTTTTGATGCTTGTTGCCTAAATGATTTACATCAGTAACATCACGCTCATACTATTTTAAAATTTCGCTACAACAAAACGATCCTTATACATTTAAAGAAATAACTCAAATAAGAATTAAGAACCCCTTAATATCCCAAAGAACCATATGAATAACATGTAGAACCAATCACTACATCAAATGGTTCTTTAGTAGGTTATAGTTCTTTGTGGAACCACACAGGCTTCTAAAGAACCACTTAAGAACCATTATTTTTCTGTGTGCACTCAATTGCCGTGTGTTCGTGCTACACATTGAAATTCTGAGGACATCCATCATAAACATCTCACACAAATGAAGACAGTTGGTGAAGACCAAGCCCCATTGTAGCATCATACACTGTTTGTTTTCTTAAGTTGTTGATTTCTTTAAAGTAGCATAGGGCAAAGCATGTCCCACTTTACCTAATGTCCCACTTTTACTGAACTCATCCTATTATTATGCAGATGTACAGGTAAAATGCATGCAACCTATTTTGAGACTATTTGACTTGGTTTATTAATTACTAGTAGGCTAATTAAGTAGCAATTATAATTAAGTAGTAGTGCACGAAAGCTCACAATTAAGTTGTAATGGAACTACTTCGAAGTAAGTTCACCTGTTGTCAATAAAAAAAAAGTTGGCTGCGACCTCGTTTGACCCTATTTTATAAAATACTTTGAACTCAAATGAGAAACTACCTCGTATTTGAAACGAAGTACATGAGGGGAATACAAAAATACTTTGCGGTGTATCTTGTCATGAATGATGAATATGGATAGAAAACATGTTTTGATAAAAATGTGGCATGAAAATTAATTACTCACATTTCCTTTAGCGTTTTCAGATGCTCTTAATGCCTGAAGCAGGTAATGGCGGGATTGGGCGAGTAAATGTTGTGAAAATGGTGTCCTTACCAAGGTTTCTATATTTATTTCAAAACATTCCACTGTTTATCCCCAAATAATTTTTTAAGTCCATTGATGCTATTATTATGCCTTTTATCTGGGGGTATAAGGCCCACAAGGATATCAAAGATCCACCTTCAGAAATCAAGGGAGCATGGGGGGTTGGGGTTACCATGTTTCATACATTATTATTAGACTGCCAATGTGAGAGTTATGGTATATTGGCAATATGGATATCAAGTGGAGGACATCTCAGGCCTGCCTCCATGGCTTGCTATTTAAATTGGTCTAACCTCGAGCACGTCTCTCCCAGCTCTCCTTTTCGCGTCACCTAAACCTCCTGCGACATTGAAAAATTATCACTTTATAGTGGCCAACGCTCAGAGGAGTTGGAATCAAATTCGGAAATCTTGTAAACTCCCTGACACATCAGTTCATGCCCCAATCTGGCAAAACCATTGCTTCTTGCCATCCTTAACAGACATGACCTTTAAGGATTGGAGTAGAAAGGGTATAATAGCCTTGAAAGATCTTTATGTTGGTGGATGCTTTGCGTCATTTGAACAGCTTCAATCAAAGTTTTCCCTCCATACACAGTTCTTTAGGTACTTACAACTGAGGAATTATGTAAGGCAGAATATACCGGCATTTGACTCTATTCCAAAAGATATCGCGTTGTATAAGTTGTTGTTGGGCCCCCCAGATGCAAGACATTTAATTTCGGATCTTGTTAGAATATTTGCTGGTAACCTGAATACGTCTACAGACAAAATAAGAAGTGCATGGGAAGCAGAGCTGGATATTAAGATTGATAGTGACATTTGGACTAATACTCTCGGTGGAATTAAAACCTGTTCTATTAATTCCAGATTACATCTTATTCAATTTAAGGTTGCGCACAGACTGCACTATGCCAAAGTTAGATTGCATAGACTTTGTCCAGATCTGTCACCCATGTGCGATCGATGTATGGAAGCAGAGGCCACCCTAGCACACCATTTCTGGTTGTGCCCTAAACTTAGGGATTTTTGGTGTTCCATATTTAAATGGTACGCTCATATATTTAACATCAATTTGTCGCCAGACCCTGAAACAGCGTTATTTGGATATTCAACTGCACTGGAGAATATTGATCATAACATTCGTCCAGTCTTGGTATGTGGTACGGTGATTGCCAAGAGAATTTTAATAAAATGTCTGCCGTCTGCCGCCCCCTGTTGGCCAAAGCATCACCGCTGCGATATCAGGCTGCTGCGCTCAGTCACCAGAGAGCACGGATTAAGTGTGTTACTCAGTTACACTCTGGGCAGCGCTGAACCAGGACATTAATAGGATAGAATAGGAAGCCTTTATTGTCAGTGTACACGTAGCAAATACAATATATAGACAGAAATATATAAAATATACATATAGAGGGGAGGGGAAAAGCTCCTTCTACTCATCAGGCTTACATTTTATTTTATTCAGAATCAGAATTCACTCTATTGATACAACTGCATGTACTATGATTTTGTTTTGGCAGTTTTGATGCATTCACAGACAACACAGAACGTAAGCCAATTTTCCATGGGTTTGGCAAGCTGAACAAACATTCATTTATTTTTGTCTGACACTTGTCACACTTCTGAAGACTAAAAAGGGTTATACTGGTTAAAAAGCTGAGATTTTACCGTTTTGCCATGGAGAACTCTGACACTCTGATAAGGTAAAAATGATTCCTCCAGCACACAGTGAGCTATCCCAGCATGCACAGGGACACGGAGGAGTTTATATAATTAACCCCAAACCCTGGATAGAGGGGCTCAGTGAATGAGAAAGTGAAGCTGTACAGGAGGGTCAGTCCATCAGAGGAGACTCTGTAGAAGGACAGAGTACCAGCCCCCCAGTCCAGATACACTCCTACTCTGTGGGAGCCTGAGGGCTTTCTGGGTATGACAGTCTCTTTATTATTGTGATGGACAGAATAACTGTCAGTAGAGCAGCTCAGACTCCATGACTTCTCATTGTATCCAAGCAGACAGTCATTATTGCGTCCTTTCCTCCTGATTCCTTTATAAGTCACTCCTATCCAGGCTCCATCTCCACTCCACTCAGCCTCCCAGTAACAGCGACCAGTCAGACTCTCTCTGCACAGAACTTGGTTCCAGTAGTCAAATCTCTCTGGATAATCAGGATATGGCTGCTTTGCCCCCCGTGTTGCCTTCCTGCTCCCCCCTGACAGAGACAAGTATCTGTTTGCTGTGTTGGGGTCCAGCATCAGCTGGCAGGAGTCTGTAGGCAAGAGGAAGAGCGATTAATCCCATCACAAAGCCCAGCATCTCCATCATTATCACTGTCACACCTCACACACTCACTAACACAGAACTCGCTCCAATACACACATTTTATTCCCAATATACTCATGTAGCCGCCCGAGTCTGCGGCGCTCCGGCTGCCCCCTGCGCTGTGAGACATGCCGCGCTGAGAGACTCGCTGGGGACCGAACTGCACTTTAGCCTGCGCTCTATTATTCTGTACGATACATAAAATATAAAACAGCACAGCGTCCCCTAACGAAGCAGGAATTCAAGTATGTGAAATAGCTCAGGAAATGCTGCGCGTGCTGAATTAACAGGATTAATTACAGGTAAATAAAATTACAAACAACATTCATCAAACATATTAACCATAAAATTATGCGACAAGGGGCCGGCTTATTACAGTATGCATAATGAATGATTTATGAAGCTCTCATCTTTAATGCACTATAGATACCTTCATAATGCATTATAATGGTCGGTATAAGCATTAAGGATGCTTTGTATTGCATTATGAAGGTATCTATAGTGCCTCATAGATGACTGTCATAAAGCATTCATAAAGCGTTATAATCATGGCTATAATGTGTTGTGCTTTTTTATAAATATTTATAGCCATGTTTAGAATGCCTTATGAGTGCAGTATAATTAAGCAGTAACATATGAGAAGAGTGTGCTTGTACTCAGATATATCACAGCTGTGATTCGGTAAAAGGCACAAGGCCACCAGAAAAAAAAAAAAAAAAGTTCTCATAACGTCAGTGCAAGAGGGACGGGCTATCGCGTGCAAACCGTCCGCATACCTGGATAATTCAGTCAATAACCAATATAGTTTTGTCTAAAATTTCCGGTGCCAGCAGTAAAACAACTAGCCAGCTTATTAGCGAGTAACTTTGCATTGTAAATTAAAACCATGCCGCAGGTCTAATAAATAAAATATTGTGGCACTTGAGTGGCGAAGAGATCATTAGGCAGACTGCAAAGTTCAGTTATTGGCATCTTTAATTGCGCGATCGTTAAAAGGACAAAAGGAGGTAAAACATCAAGCAAAAATAAACTCACTCACACCGGTGTTCTGTCATAAAATACTACCTATCGAGACGTGCTATCGAGTCTTTCTGCGCATGTGCAGTACCACCGTCTTGGGATTAGGGTTAGGTTTTAGGGGTTAGGGTTAAGGTAAGGGTTTTAGGGATTTTGGGGGGTTAGGGTAAGAGTTAGGGTTATGGCTATCGATTAGCACTACGGTAGCATTTTTCGACAAGGCAGCATATATCGACAGAACACCGGCTCTACGTTGGGGCAAGAGGGGGCAACGCCCCCTTAAACAAACGTCCTGCCCTCTTAAATCAAACTTTTAGAAGTTGAGGAAGAAGATAATAGATTACCCACAAACTAAATATAGACAATATTTACTACAGTAGCTGAAAAATCCACTGAAAAAGACACAAACGAGATGATAAGTTTCACTTCTTGTTCGCTCTTTCCCTCCGCGTTCTGTTTGTGCGCGGGCTCACACAGCACTCAGCAGAGATCCCCCACTCACCCTCCCCCCAGCTAAACATCCAATCACTGTTAGTATGTCTCAGTAGGCAGGGCAGAGCGAAATGAGGGAAGCAACAATCTCTCTCGTCAAAATCATAACGACTCGTGAGATCATGGTTCGAATTACGGGGGTTACTGGGGGGTACAGTACCTCCCGATCAAGACCAAGACCCCCCCAAAATAGACAAAAATAGCAGTTTGGGGGGGGGGGGTCTTAACATGTTTCTTTTTTTTTTTAAAGAAAGATAACCTCACCTTTTAGGAAAATTTTATGTAAAACGATTTCAGATACCCAGTGTTGCCAACTTAGCGACTTTGTCGCTATATTTAGCGAGTTTTTAGACCTCTCTGGCGACTCGTTTTCAAAAAAGCGACTAGCGACAAATCTAGCGACTTTTTCTAGTGTAATTGGAGACTTTTGGAGACTCTGACGTGGAAGCACGTATCGTTACTCTCCTGACCGAGCAGCGGGTGCTACCGTGGGCTCCCCTCCCGTCCCAAAGCATTCACAGGCGAACAGTCCTCACGCAGCAGCCCCGCCCAGCTGCAGTCAGAGCAGGAAATGTTCACCTTTCCGCGCCCAGACTGCAAATGAATTGCGCATGCGCGAAGCCACCACTGCCTGATCCTGCCCTGGCTTATTGCCAAAAAATCCGCGAAGTATGACAGTTTTTAAGAATAAGTTTTTTTTTTTTTTTTTTAATGCAAGAATCAGATCATACAAGAACAGGGAAGAAAGACATTGATATAGTTGTACAACGTACAATCATACAGAAAAACAAACAAACAAAGATCTTTGGTTTGCATTTAACAGATTAATATCCATACAGATAAGTGCAGAGAGAAGAAAAATAAGTAAATAAAATATTACATAAAGTTACATCCTCTCAGAAAATTTGTCAAAATGCACCAAAAACTACACTTTTTTTGTTATTCGTAAGTCTAAGAGAGGAAACAAGATGGTTAAATTCAGCAAGGAAGAGGGTGAAAGATACAGGAGATTTACGCCATTTTTGTTTATGAATAAAAAA